GTGTGTGTGTGTGTGTGTGTGTGTGTGTGTGTGTGTGTGTGTGTGTGAGGGGTCTTTAGCCTCTTTAATCGCTCTGAGTGACATGATGGGAGGGTTACGCAGCCGTGAGGGACCGCATTAGTCTGCACAGGCTTTCAATATCAAGGGATCTAGAGTGAAGACATCTCTCTTGGGAAGTCTATCCTGCTTACAATTTTAGATTGCACCCCATGTTAAGTGCTTCATTTCATATCCATGAAAAAAAGAAACAGAAACAATAGCAAATTCAGTGCACAGTCACGCCAGTTATGATTTATGCATTCAACTATTCCCAGAGATGCCTCAGAGACACATCATCTCCTTAAAAGTTCAGAGGAAGCTGTGAAGTTTAAGTTCAGACTAAATCTGTGGTTCAACTTGAATTGCCCATGCTTGTTACACCCTTGAATTATTGAGTTTGTGTATGCTTGGTCTCCGATCTGAATTATTTGTTGGGCCAGCGTTTCCCTCCATTCACTTAATTTCAACTAAAAGTGCACTGTTGCTCATCAACCTGACAGCAACAAAAAGAAGACCGTAAGAATGAGCTGCTAAGGACAAAATGATCAAAGAAGAAAGGTATCAATGGGGTTTATTGTCGAAAAGTGCTGTTGAAACAGAAGGAGGAGAAATATAGATAAAAAAACTGAACAAAAGATGCTGACAAAATGACGCAAATAGTGGACAAAGTGTGGAAGGAACAAGTTTCCTCACATACATCTTTAGTGTGCAGCGTTGATAGTAGGCTGAGAGAACTGCCTCGTCACACGATGCACTGCACGTCAGGATCCGAGCAGAAATCGTTTCACAGAGATTATTTTTGTCATCCAGACAGTATGCTCACATGATCAAAGTAACTTGCCAACTCTATAGCAACATTCCCACATGGGCTTCCTTGTCACCCAGTGGGATTTTACACTACATATTCTGTGTGGGGTGTACTACAGTGGATTTGTTTGTCTTTTTCTGAATGAATTCTTTTTCAGTTTCTAGTTGTAATGAATGCTTTCAAAATCCTAGGTGTAAAAATAGTTAACTTTTAATTTAGCTTGTGAGGCACGAACTGGTTCTCTTTAGGGCATTCTTCCTTACACACCTATGTGTTGCGGTAAATGACAAAGGCCACTATAAAGGACCTCATTCCCATGCCAAAAAAGATCAAATAAGGGTACAATTTAATTTGTTTTTATTTAAAATATTCAACCGGTGTATGAAGTGCCACCATAGCTTCAAATTTATCATTTTAAATTCCTTCTTTGAAGAACTACAGGATGAATTGCCACTAAATTTCTGAAGGGCATTTTCTACATGATGGGTTGTGATAAACTTTGGCATTTTCTGAACCTCCCATATGATATGATTGGTCCTGAGCTTTGATTTATGTTTGAGTTCCTGCAGTACAATGACAATCCGGTTTTTATTATTCTTGTGGTTTCCGCATTCGAAAATGTTACGTCTTAAATGTCTGTTCTCTTTTAAATGCATTTAGAGTAAAAAATATATTTAAATGATTGGTTAATGCCAATTTAGGTATTTTTGTATTTTGCATTTGTGGATATGTATTAATGTCTTTTAAAATTTTTGGCAATTGAATGTACTTGTATTACCCTTTTGCAGAGAGCTTAATTGTTTTCCAAGTAACAATTTGCACGTTTCCACAGTAACATGCCTTCTGTGCATCTGGCTTTTCCACTGCTCTAAAGCATCTAATCTGGGCCATCGCTGCTGACATGAATTTTCATAAATTCACTTTATTACTCCCTCAGTCCCAAGACCCATTGGCGTTCTCAATGCAGCTTTCTGGCTTTTCATTGGCCATTGGAGGTGCCGTCCCATGTTTGGAAGCCCTGGGCAGGTTGCTGTCCCTGAGGCAATGCCAGTGTGTGCTCCTGTGAGTCCACCAAGGCAACAGCCTGCATGTCTGAGTCATTTGTCATACATGAGTCACAAGCACATTAGGGGGAATGTAACACTCGTTTGTGTAAGATTACAGAGAGCTCGAGAGATTCCCTTCTTCGGTCAGAGATTGTATGTGTCTGTGTGTATGTGCAGACAAACTCAGACCGTGTATAAAACGTGAGCTTCGGTGTACTTTTGAGGCATATCACATGCGCATGGATAGATGGCAGCCCTGTATGTGTGTGTGTGTATGTATGTGTTAACCTGTCAGTACTGATATATTCCAGATATTATGACCAGTAGGCTAGGTGATGGACCGTCTAATTAGCTGTGGCACTGCTCAGCCCGGTGTTACACACAACCTGTGAGGAAAAACTATGATGAACAACTCTCCACCTAACCTATGTCACACACCACTCATGCTGCCTCTGGTCTCTCACACAAGACAGATGTTTGTTTGTGAGTTGCCATTGGCCGGCGAGGGACTGCTAAACATTCGTGTCTATGCTCCCTCAGCCTTATATTGATTTCCAATAATGAGATCAGAAAGTAGAACCTGACAGAAGACAGGACACTTAATGAACAGTCTTTACACCCATCTGTTTGCTAAACAAATGGACCCAGAGGCCACACTGACACGAATGAAAAGAGTGTGATTATAGCTGTAATTGACTCTTTTGGCCAGTTAAGATAAATCTTAAAACTATTAGCAGCTCAAATATGTATTCTCACCACAGTTTCCTTAGTCAGAAGGCTGTCTAGTCGACACAATTATTTAAAGGTTATGGAGAGTCTTGACGATTGCTTCCATCACATAGTAAAGGAAGCCATTACCTTGTTAATTATAACTCCTCATAAGACAACCATTAAATAAGGAGCCTCTAAAACATTGCTAAACAAGTCCCCGCATGTTATAGTTAGTTCAAGGACATTACAGCCCTTTCAAAAATTGCTATAAAAGGAGATCCGTAATTGACTTGGAATCCATCAGAACCTTTTTTTACGACTTTTGTGGTACTCCCTGCAATACACTTAGAAGGACATTAGGGACTGATTTTTCTTGTGGCAGAAAACAATTGAATAAAAAAAGCCCAGCAATGTTGAGGCTACAAATTACACATCACTGGCTCTGATACAGTGGTGCACACAAGTTGTGTGGGGTGTAAGTACAGAAACATGTGGTCAAATTTGGTCTCACCTCCTCAGACAGTTAAAAAATAAATCTAATTTGGTTATTTTGTATGCTTTAAACACCAAATAGGTTAAGACAAATTATAACCTGCCTATCCTGGCAGTTTAGAAACATTTTTGCACGTAATTTTATTAGTGACACTACTTAAGATTTGAAGAATTTATTACATCAGGCTAGCAAAATGTATTGATGCAAGCATGTCTGATGGCACTGTCAGTGAGGGCTTTCAGATGCTGTTACGTGGTCTGACAAGCACTTTGATGGATTCTGAACCCTCAGAAGTGTTCAGAAGCACCAGATGTGCGTCTAAAAAAAGTATTTGCAGCTTTAGCTCTTTTGAAGCAGTTAATAGAATGCTTAAAATAGAACAAAGAGAGGAAGGTTTCCTTGTATTTTTAGCATGTCTCTGAAGACTTTTGCAACATATGTATGTCGGGGGTATGTTTCCAAAGAAGCTTTTTTTGAGGGCTCAGTCATCTAGGAAAACAATGTATCCCACATGCCCCATTTCTGCATCATGTGTGCATTTTGTGACCGTTTAACTGAAGCAGCAGATGTTTGCCACGCTGCAACAGAAGAATAAAAGACACTGTCACAGAGGGCTGACCTACAGCAGCTATTCACACTTCCGCCATTCAGATGTAATAACACTCTAGATATTGTAGCTATAAAGTCAGTGCCCTCTCAGCTGTACTATAAGAGGGTGGTTATTAAGATGATGTCACATGTTCCATTGGGAGATTATAAATGCCCGATGGGCGGTAGACGCATGTTCCCCCTGTACCATCCAAAAATATAAAATGGCAACTACCTGCTGCGTTCATGTTATTATTCACTGTGGGAATGATTTGCTATGGCTCTGATTCGAAAGATAGAAATAGTCAGGAAATGAGAGCAAAAAAAGACCTGCTCTGTATCCATGCATGGCTGAGTATTCCAGCTAATCTCCATGGGGACTGATATTAAAGCAGGTTTGTGGCTGGAAAAGAAGGGGGAGCTCCATTTAGCTTTTTTTTAAAGGATAGCTCTTATGTGCTTTCTGTCAATCCTCCCGTGTATCTCGGTGGCTTATTCACTCCACATATGTTGAGGTCAGATCTGATGTAGTGTTTGAATGTTGATGGATTACAGCTCGTAACGTCAGTATATGTGTGTGAATCAGACAGTCCGTTGGAAGATAAACTGAGATCCATAAGCTGACCGTTCATGTGAAACTTGTATCAGTGTTTTGCACCTATCAAAGTACATGTGAGGAAAAAAACGCAGGTGCTAGAGAAAATGAGAGCAGGTGGAGAGGTCAGAGTTCAGACAGGTTGCACCTCACAGGTCTTTGGGCAGAAGTTGTCTTTGACAGGGTAACTTGGCAAGACATATAGGTTTAGTGTTCACACCTGACTGCGGGACAGAGCAGTGTTAGGAAGATGCTGAGAGGTGACTAACCCAGACATTATCGCACAAACACAAACTAACACAAACTAACACAGAAAAACATTTCTGGAAAAATAAGTAATCAAACACGTTATCTTTATGAGTTCACCATCAATATTAAGTATCCTGTCTATTCAAATCACTGGCACAGTGATTATTGTTAAAAGAGTGGGGGAAAAAAT